AGGAGGCCCCTTAGAGACCTGTTTCATAATTTGGGCTGCGCCGTCTATTGTATTGGCCTCCTTTGATAAATTTACCTCCAACTGATACAATGCGGCAGTCTTTTTGTTAGAGGAAGACAATTGCTTGTACGGCGAAGGTCCAGGGCCTTAATGAAGTGCTAAAGCTATCGGGCACAAAGGTCGTTTTTGCTCTTAACGTTAGATGACAGCTAACGGAGCAGACAACACTGTGAAAGGACGGAGCCCAAGTTCATATGGTGATATCATTACTGTATTGTTCTGAGAAATATGTGTGGAAACCGGTACAGCGTAACATTATTATTTTTTTAAATCGAGTTTGAAACAGCCATTGATGAGTCACAGTGAGAGACTAACGGAAGAAAACAATACGTTGAGGTTTGAATAGGTTGTTAGTTTCAGACCAGTAATGTGAGGCAGGATCCTGACCTTCCCGTGCTTCTCCTCATGCCAGAGATGGTAAGATGGGGGGGCTATTTGCTCAATTAAATACATATAATACATATTTGTTTCATACAAGACGTGTTCCTAGAGAGTAAAGCACAGGCTCCATTCAGGGGTCACCGGTATCGGCTTAGATCGACCCTTTCATTCCTCCCAGTCTGTGCTCCCTCCCCTTTCCGTGCTCTGGCTGCTCTGCTCTTTATTTTCAAGTTAAAAGCAGCGCTCTTGACACCCGTGACTTGTGTTGGCAAAATACAAAATAAGATCAATTGGGTGTACTTATTTTTTTGTTCTTCAAATGTATTCTGTTATAAATGCATTTGCAGCTTTTAACAGTATTTAAAGACCGCTGTTTAGCATGGATCCTTTTTGAAAACTACAATTGTGTGGATTACAAACACAGCTATGGTTTCTAATCCAGTGTTCAACTTGGAAAGCCTTGAAATGTTTGCCTGAAAGGTGAGCCTCAACTGAAGATGATATCACTCGGGTAGAATAACCTTATATTATTCCTTTAATAGCAAGGGTGCACAGTCTTTTTTTATGGTATAGTGTCGGGGGACAGGTTGAGGGGGGGCCTCATGATGTTGGGACAGATGGCATTTAGCTCTAGCTGTGCCGAGCTCAGTGGGACCCGAAGCTTAAGAGGTTAGGCCTGTCAAAACCACTCTGTTCATTCACTGCCTAACAAAGTGTGGACTGTCAGCCTGTTCCGTTTAATAAACTTTAGATTTTTCTTTTGTCAACGCCTGAGCAACACTTTGCAACTCGATGACCCGAATGTCCCATCGTGCACCGAGGCTCAATGGGAAAGATTGCAGTTTGGACATAAGTCTGATTTCTCTATGTTAAACTGAACTGAAATAGCCGAGAGTGTTTCGTTAATTAAATACAGGGAGGTTGTGTCAAGAGGCTTTCCGCAAGCTTTATGCACGAGTCTGATGAATATGTTAACATAATACATGTTTTTGTTAGAGTCCAGTATTACCTGATTGTGAAAAAACACCCAGCAGAACAACAAATGTCAGCATAAAACATATAATGCACTTTGGGCATTTCTCCTTCCATAGTTAACACTGTAGATGTGGCGTAGAAACGTAGAAAAGAAAGAGGATAACATTAAAAAAGAGGTAACTCATTGGAACTGTGCCCAGTTGTTTTGCTTATATATTTGTAGTAACCCCGAGTCCTCTTCGATGCCCCATATTCAGCATTTATACTGCCAGACTCTAAATCAAGTAACATACAATCAGTTTGGACGCATCGTATTTCACCACAAGAGGGAGACACACTGTACAGGACTACGCTGCTAATCTGCAATCAAAATGCCTAAAACAAGACAAATCCATAAATGTATCAGAATAACATCAATTGTCGTGTGATCATGAGGATTGTTTTGAGTAAATATGTTTTCATTTTTGCCATCTCGCCTCTCTCTGCCCTTTCTCTCCCCCTTCTGTGAATTTCTTTCAGTGCTTGTTGGGGTCAAAGGCTGAAGGCTGGTGAGTGGTGACCTTAGGGAGAGGCCTGGGTGCGATCTGACCCCTGAGTGGATGTGCGGGCTGACTCTGGAGGATGCAGCGCAACAAAGGGCGGCACGTGCCTCGTCGTCGTCACCATGGTAACATAGGACCTTTTTGGAACGGTAGGGGGGAGGGCGAGGTCAAAGCTTAGTCATTATTCTGATCGGTGTTAACCGTCTGCTGCCAATTTGGTTTTACAAATATAACAACGTGCCCATCAAAGAACAGGGGGCGTGTGTGTGTGTGTGTGTGCGTGTGTGCGTGTGTTTTCTGCCTTGCGGGGAAATAAATCAGATTACACAGTCATATGGAAGGGACCCACATATTTTTTTGGGACAAAATACATGTCCCCATTACGTAAACCTTTACAATTTAAGGTGAGGACTTGGTTAATGTTAAGGGTTATCTCCAGATAAGAAATCTCCAAGAAAGTGATGTAAATGTTATATCCCCAAAAGTGAAGAATCTAAGGGCTGACTGGGTAATCTCTGCAGGCAACTGTGATGGTGCTTTAAATTCTCACAATGACCTGGAGAGATTCTGCAGTTGCCTTTTATAACTTGAAAACACGATAATATAAACCTTTAAAGATTGTCTACTTTTCGTCACAAACCATATAATGAAAGGTGTTTTTCCTTTTCTGCGACCTGTAAGCAGGAGGCCAAATTGTTTACCAAAGTGGGCTCAAAAACGTCTGCCGATGTGAAATGGTGATCAAAGAGGATTTCACGCTTTAGCTTAAGGTAATGATCATTTCACGACTGAAGAGATGTCGCCCTGACACACTTCAGCTTAATCTGGTCACACCTCACTTTTGCAAGTAAACAACACAGCGCGGTACCTGCCATTGCTCGGTGGCGTCCATGTAAAGTGATATTTGACACATCTGCATTTTTGTCCTTCACTGCTGCTATCAATCCTTTACCCTCCTCCACTCTTCCTGTCTCATCCCCTTCTCCTCGTGTTCTGCTGAGTTTTGGTGAAATCTCAGCTGGCAACTGTGAGTCGTTCACTAGCTGCTCTCACAATGGCCTCTGGGATTATGCTAAACACAGCGCCTCGGCTCTCTCCCCATCGACCGGCATCAGCGACGCCCTTTGGAGCACACAGGAAAGAGATGGAGGGCTCTCAATGAAGATGTCACTGCAATTACACAAGTGCGTTTCACAGGCACCCTCTCTGTCTGCTCTTTCTCCTATCGCATCCCCCTTTTCCCACTTTTTTTTTTACATTTCTTTTAGACAGTCTTTTGAAGTGCAGCCTCATCTCTTGCAGCTCTTTCATAATGCATGCCCACTTTGAATTTGCATGAATTCACTTTCCAGATGCTTCTGCTGCCATCTTAACTTACAATGATGTGTACTGTTGCTATTGAATCCTCGCTGCACGGACAGAATAATGTTGGCTTGCTTTTATATTTGAATCGCTCATCTTACCCATTAATAGATGTTGCAGAGGATCAAAATGTGTTGTGATTTGTTCCGCCTTTTTTTCCCCCTTGCGCTAGAGGAAAAACTCTCCGATGCGGATGATACTGCATCAGGAACTGATTGGCTGATGCTCAAATGTCAACAGTACCTGATGCATTGCCTTCAGCATCGCAAGAAGCATCTGAATCTGATGTTATGAAAAATGTACCCACCCGTGTATGCGCACTCTGTGTGTTGGGACAACCACACCTGTGTGATTTGCAAACATGCCTTTCTCATTTGGTTTCCAGTGAAGAACAGGACTGAGGGGAATATGCTTCCATCTTCTCTTTCATCAGTCTTGGACACCATCTTCTATTAATCTTGCAAAAAAAAATACTTTGAGTAATCAAGGTCTTTACTTCAATGTCTCTGGTGAATATGTTATCTAAATAGCTTTCTAAATAAAATAAACTTTCAGTGAAGAGTCAAGCATTTGCCCAATTATTTCTTGTTCTTGGTCATCCTTGTTTGAACAAATAATGTATTATCATATTCTGTGGTTTATTCTTGTGCCATAATTCTCTTATTGTGAGCAGACCTCAATATCTGTACTAGGACCAAAACCGTACTCTTAAATTTAACCCGGTAGATGGACTAGTATAAGTTTACTTATAAGTTACTCCCGTTCACGATTGAGTACTAGAGTTGAGAAGTGCTAGAAAATAATCCCAGCTCTGCCAGAAAAAAAGGCTCAAGTTTAACTTTGTACCTTGAGGGTATCGCACCGTGCAGAATCTCTCTGCAGTCCTTGCTGTCATCCACACCCTGTGAGGAAAGGTCACAAGGCCAACATTAGAAGAGGCGGTGCCAAGTCCATTTCTATCCACTTGTATCAGCAAGCAGTTGGCACACACACATTCCTTGTGCACACACAAACACACAATAAGTTGCTGTCTCTTCACCCATGGGAAATCCAGGAAGCCGTGCCAATTCCAGCAGATGTTCCTGAAGCACAGGCATCTTGTAAACACTTAAATGTATTCAAGGCTAATGCAGTGGTTGCTTCCAGACATCTTCAAAACCAGATTTTACTTTAGCACTTGCTGCACACACATACTGATATATTGCCAACTGCATGTATGCATGTTACAGCCCCCAAAGTCATGGAGGCTCTTACAGAAATGGTGTGAGCCTATTAAAACTAAACGCGGTATTGCCCCAGATTTTGTCTTAGTAAACTACTGAAATCCTACTAAAATGAAGACTACATCAACTCAAACACTTTACGGTCCTGTTAAAAGTATACACTGGTACAATAAATGCAAACATTTTATCAAAGCTCAATTGAATGATATATAATGTAGTCTAATACATTATAGGTTAAATGTTGAATGCATGGAAGCCAGGCATATGTGGTAACCTTATCTCAGTTTACTTTGGTGTATTTTTATGGGAATTTTGTCTTGTGCCGCAATATAAAGAACAAGGCAAGTTTTTCCTTAGATAGCGGTGTTTTATTCTGTTTACCTTTATTTAATAACTAGTCATCAGTCTATAGAGGGAGCCACTGCAGGCAGCTGATCGGTGAGAGAGGAACCCGCAGCTCAACCTGCCCGGTACACCGCCCCCAGCATATCATACCAAACGAGCCGCATGTTCATCACAACTGCTGCTTGCACTCCGACAACGAGCTGACATCCACTGCACCGTTTGCATTCAAACGCCAGTCTGCTGCGTGAGCATTCTCGGATTGCGACCGAACACACAAACCAGGGACGTTTTTCTTCCGCGCGTCAGGAGGGTTGGAGATCCGCAGGTAGATTTGCAGGTACGTCTCCAAGGCACCACGGGGTGACAAAGCTACCGTACACGCATAATGCCCTGATTCCATTACAATGAAAGCCTCTCAACGAGTGTGGATATTGAAACAAGTTTTTTTTCAAAAAGTATTTTTTTTAAATTTAATGCTCGCTTGTTCTGAAGGAATTAACCAAGGAATTAACAAGTGTATTTTGAAACAAGGCACGCGGTGAAAATGGCACAACGTTGTACCGTGCAGATTGGGAAACATGTTTTGTGCAAATACAAAAGTTTAATCAACATGAGCTCTGCATGGCTGATTAAGTCGTCCATTTTCCCGACACTGACTGACACGGGAGGGCATGTTTACGCACGATCTTTACGCGCATTACGCACTAATCCTTTTGGAGAAAAAATAGCTGAAAAACACTTCACTTAGTCGAAGTCGCAGATTTGGCTGGAGCAGTGCCAATATAAACATCACGCCAGCAGCGGGAGATGTTGGGACTCGTTAAGCAATGCCATCCATGATGTAATAGCTGGTATTAAAACCTGAAGGCTTGTCGAGCGCAAAAAATGATCTTGCACGCTCTATCCTCCTCATCTCATCTTGTTACAGTGCTGCTCCGACGCTCGGGCGACATGCTGGGGATCTGCGTGTGTCTTTGTGCGGTTTTCACACACGTCGTCTCTCAGGAGGCTGAGGAGCCGGTCTCATACACAGTAAGTGAGATCTGATTGATCGCTCAGTGTTTTACGCAACCCGGCAATGTGGTGATGCTGTGTGCTGAGGGAGAGCTCCGGATTCAAGCGTTTACTGTTTGTTTTTTTCTCCATATGATGTTGACACACATGAAAGGACACTCGATCATGTTGGTAATCGTTATTTGCCCTTCACAGTGCACAGAAGGGTATGAGTATGACACGGTCAGAGAGCAGTGCAGAGGTGAGACATTTTAAGTATTGTTTTTCACATATCTGTGCAGCTTAATTGTGCATTTTTCGTGTATTTTCAATATACGTTGTTTCTTAAAGAAAATTGAAATAATCCAACCAAAGAAAATGTCATATCTGATGTATTTCTTTCCGCCTGTCTTACTGTTTGGCCTGTCAGACATCGACGAGTGTGCCTTGTTAGACGATGCGTGCAAAGGAGGGATGCAGTGCATCAACCACTTCGGTGGATACCTCTGCCTCCCCAAGAACGCCGTCATCTACATCAGCAAGGAGGGCGAGCAGGGGCCGCTGCCGGAATCCATCCCTCCCGGGGTCGCCCCCGTCCCTCCTGTCCCCGCTGTCCCTGCTGTCCCCCCGAACCAGCCTCGGTTTCCATGGTCTGCAGGGGTCTCTCAACCCGGCCGGACCGTCCTCTGTGCACCTGGATACACTGCAGATGAGCAGAACCTCTGCAGAGGTAAGGTCCTCTGACCAGGTGGTACTGCTTCCCCTCTCCGTATCATCAAAGTAACTTGCAAAAAATACCCTTTCATTTTTTACAGCTTTATGCTTTAAGAAACAGAGACGGATCCTCTTATCTCAGCACCGGTGTTGACAAGCTCCCCAGGAGAGAAATCAGAGTCTGTCAGCGGGAGAGGAGGTGTAGCAACCACATTTGTTAGAAGTGCAAAAGGGAATTCGGCCACACTCTCTCCATGAACAAAAAGATGTGTGTTACTTTATTTTTCCAAAAAGTGAATGGTTTGATTCTAGGCGTTCACAAGACCGACTGCGCCCTGAAAATATGGTTGCACTTATTTCGTAACCATATTTCGGTTTTTTTTTACCACAGTATGGTAGCAGATTTAAAGGTGCCACATATAAGATGTATCTGCCTACATGCTACAAACAGATAGGGGGCAGCATTTCCCTTCTGGGTCCATTCAATCTAAAGTCACAGTCTTCAGTTATAAAAGCAAACTACTATCTTACATCAGGGCAAGAATAATTTAACCAAACTGCGGAGACTCTGAGAGACCCCCAGAACAAGATTTTTATCTCAGATTCTTTACTCGTGGAGTCTGTCTTTGGTTCACATTAGCCACCTTTAGGTTTACTGTGCCAACAACCGGGTTCCCTAGTAGTTTATTCGTTATATGCAATCTCAAAGTGGTGGACATTACAAAATGACTGACACTCCTGGCAAGCGGTTTGCTTCAGTGACTCACAACATGCAGTTGTCTTTAATAATGTGAGTTCAATGTGTTGAACTGAAATGGACACGTTGCACCTTAAAATGTCAATTTTGAGAAGTGCTTCTGAATATCAGTACCGTGCTTTAATTACACTCAGCCAGATGCAGTGCTGCTGGATGGAAGAATGTGTCTCGATATGTCTCTAGCAGGGCCAAGCAGGTATTTGATAATTGCTCGCTAACGACTTTAGAGCCTCAATAAGCAGAGCTCCAAAAGTGAACTGTTCATCCATCTGTCTGACAGTCATCAACAGCCCAACGATGCGTAGCTGCCAGATGTGTTGCAAGCCCTCTCAGCTGCGATGTCATGTTTTATAAACTCTGTTTTTGGCCGGAGTTCAGCTTCTTCTTAAAAATGCCAGACACTATTCTTGTCGTGAGGGTTGAGGTCCTCTGCTTTTATGCCGTTATCATATCGTGGTGAGCTCTGTGCTCACAAATAGCCTGTATCCCCTCAGTGGAGATTCCCTGGGCCGTGACCAGCTCCAGATTCTGGTAGCTGCTGAAGATTATGTGGGTGTGATTTTGAGTTTGGGCGAGACTCTTTGATCCTTAGAAAAGGGGAGTGGATTGAAGATTCATCCTTTGTCTCCTCAACACACACACACACGCACACACACACCAGTGTTCTTCACTGCTTTGTGCCTGAGTTTCATGGCTGCACTTGAGAGAAGAGAGAGAGAGAGAATCTGAGATCACTCGTGACCTGTTTTAGCTTTTACCTTGCCATCTGTATTGGCCTGTCAGAGATCGTGATGGTGAGCGTGCACATGTGTGGTGTTAGCTGTTTAAACGTAATTTAAGGTAAAGTGCATTGGCGTAAATTTCATGTGTTCAGTGGTTTGCCAGTAGTGGTGAGTGGTTGTGGCTTGTGGTCAGAAAGCTGCAGTGAAAGTGACAAATTTGATTGTACACTTGGGGCAAATATATATGTGAGGTGCTTTATATGTTTCTCTGAATTGGAACCCAATTAAGTTTTATTAGAGTGTAAAACATGGCAGCATATCAGCAGCTAAAGTAACCACATAAGAGAGCTGGCTCGGTTATAATACTTATTCATTTGCTGGCATGTCGTTTCAGTGCATGGGCTGAACAATGATGATGGCTGTTGCTGTCAGCGTTATTGCTTTGAAATTACTGGAGTTTTAACTGGAAGGCGTCTCGTGCCGTCTCTTGGGCGAACGTTTCTGTTGCTGGAGTGATATAATCTTTGTTTACTTCAGTTTCTGGTTTCTCTGTCATTAACTTGCTACAATGAGCCAATTGTTCTCGGACACAGAATTGTCTTTTCTCTTTTTTTTTTTTTTTTCGCTCCACAGTGCCTGTTTTGCACAGCTACGTATCTTGCTAGCGAAGGAATTCCCATTAACTTTGGAAAGGGGGGAAACCTCAGTGTATCAAATAACGCTTACCTCAGGCTCCTCCACTGCTAACTCACCACTCTGTGGAGTGTCGAGTCAGGTGGAGGAAAGGGCAGCGTGAAAGGCCGACTCTGACTGAATAACCACAGAAGGTCCAGGGAACTGACCCAGCCTGGTTGGACCAGTGTCATGGGTTGTCCTAATGCTGAGTTGCTTTGTTGATTTACTGCTGAGTGCGTGGCAAATAGTGGAGAGATCATCCAGATGCCTCGGAAAAAAAATTCAGCCAAATTTCCAAAGCTCTGCGTAAAAAAACAGTTTCTCTTCAGTTTTCTCTCGCAGTATTCGTTACGCTGATTAAAAGCCAAAAACAATCCACAAATTAGAAAATACACTTGAACACGACATTTTGCTCTTGAATAAACTTGTGATGTTTGCTCTCTTTCTGAAAATAGCCGAGCTTGTTCCTCGGCTCTGAGGGAGAACCTGAGCCTAAGTGTGTGTTGTTCCAGTCACACATCAGAGAAGCTGGCGCCCCCCCCCCATCCCACTCCCTCCACCACCTCCCTCCCCACCTTTGCTGTTTTTGTGACAGCTTAACGATGCCTCACATATCCATGACCTCGCCCCACCCTCCAAACACACACACTCATACTTACTGAGTTTACCATCGGGAGATGCCTTCAAGTGACTTGTTGTAGTCTTGGGTGTGCGTATTAAGTCTTATTTACTGCAGAGTGTGAGATCACTTCCTCCTTGAAATGAAGGTTGTCCATCAAACGTGGTCGAAACAGTCGTTAAATCTAAGGAAAATAAGGAAAGCAGATATTTTATGATCCTCATTTACAGTTGGACATTGTTTGTGCTCATAACTGTGCATTCATGGCTTCAGGGATATTACTGTGGCCTGAGTGAATGATGCACAGCGTGATTTACAAGTTCTGAGTTTACTTTTATGTCCCGTCTCAATGACATACTACTACTGTGCTGCAGTTTTGGGATATGAAAGGCAATGCTACTCCTGTTTACCCGTCTGGTTTCCTGAGGCGGTGCAGGCCACGTTACCGCCGTCACGGCGCACCGATGTCGGCTGCGTCCCGGACGCTCTCTACCTGCAGTGGCTGGAAATCTTTCCCAGCTATTTTCTATTAAGGCCGGTAATCCCTGTGTGACAGGGAACTTGTGTACTTTTCCGAACCCGGCAGAGTGCATGCAATAACATTTTTCCACACAGATGCAATGCACTCGGGAGGAATATCTCCGGAATGTCGGGGGCTTTTTTTTTCCGTTTGCTCCCATCTTTTGTAATGGTAGGAATTACTCACCACCTTTGACAGATAAGCGTCGGATCGATGTACGAGGAGCAGGAATGCAGAGAGCAGAACAGGCAGAGAAAGCACAACGTGACAGCGCTGCACGATTTGACCTTTGGCGTTTATACTTTACAGCTCGTTGTCATTTAACGCTGACTTTTACACTCGAAGAAACAAGCCCTGGCCACTCGGTCTTTGCTCATCCACCGGCAATGTAAAAAGGATGTGTGGATATGCGCCGAGCAATTATGTTTTTTTTTTCAAGAAATTTCTTCTGATGTTATCCTTTCAGTATTTGTTTCTTCCAAACATCCATCAACGACAAGCCACGCAGACGTTGGAGGAGGCAGGCTGCAACAATGTGAATGTGAATGTGGTACAGGACGTTAAATCAAACCACTTTGCTACGCTGTTGTTGAGGAAGTGTGATCAAGGACAAGCGCACCCACTTTGTTTAGGGTTACTCAAACCAAGAAGACACCTGAGGCGCACCTTTGTACCTGTTGAACCCTCCTATTACCAGCTAAGCTCTTGTCTTCCACCTGCTCTCAGACCGATCGTTTGCCCCGTCCTGCGTCTAATATGTGATCGTCCTGGTGCCCTACAGTGTGATTTCACGCCACAACTCTGTCATGCTGCAGTTTTAGCTGTAACAACTGACGTTGGATGTTTGAGCCCCACCCCTGTGTTTCAACGGGTCAACATCATCTTCTCTGCCAGAGAAGACTTTTCACACTGAGTATCATCCAGCAGGCAGCGCCTCTGTAGGCCTGTGTGATGTTGCTATGCAGGATGCTCGTGCAGAGAGGGGCCGCAAGAGGCGGTGGGGAGGTGGGGGCAGCTTTGCCGTGCCTCATCAGCGTAAGTGCTTAACGTTGTTGTTATTAGTCTCCCCGAGGTCGAAGCCCGTCCACCGGCCAGCTGCTTCCTCCTGTGATGTGCTCACACGTTCACACGTGTTGCTCTTTCCCTTCGGCCCGTGATGGAAAGGGACACGGGGCTGCTTTAGATCACCGCTGCGCTCAGCTGGCTGACACCTGGATGTGTTCGCAGGGTTTTGTGTTACTCACACGGTTTCCCTTTCGCTGCTTGTTTTCGGGCCTTTTTACTGCCACCGTATCTTCAGGTTTCACCCCTTCCGGGCCGCGAATGTGGTCCAAACGCCGTGAATGGCAGGCGGGCAGAGTGATTGATTGTCTTCACACAGCAGAGCTTGTGAACACTTCTGAAAAAATAGCTAGTAAAAAAAAAATATATATATATATATTTCTCAGAGTAACAGGAAAGATCATTATCAGTCAGGAATGCGGCCGGCACACCGGACGGATTTTCAAGAATGTCAAATCGCTGCCCGACATTAAGAAGAGTTTTGGAGCAAACTCACAAATCAGTTAGTAAGTGTCAGTACGACTAAAACTCCTCTTCCTCCTGAGTAATGACAGCGATGAGAGGGGAATCTTGGGAGTGGTACAAAAGAAAAAGACCATGGAAATATTTCATGCTTTAATACAGATGGAAATACACGGAATATAAGGTTAAAGTGTCTTGAATTCTTTGATTTGTTATCTGCTCTGTGTTTGAACTTGCTTTGAAAGGGAAACACCACCACTCCCACTTTGTCCCGAGGTCTTGTTCGAGCCGGTGATAGATAGCTCCATTTCACACTGCAATGCGGAGAGAATTACACACAATTGAAAAGACGTGCGTGTTGCGTTTGCCCAGGAGGGCTGATTCTAAAGTTGAGCAAAATCAAACACTCTGGTGGCTGTTGTATGACATGCTAATAAATTTCATGTTGTGAAATTTCACGGGCTATTAGCATTGCACATCTTGCCCCCCTGCTTCCAGAAGATTGAATTATCCAATAATCAGAGGGAAACAGAGATGCTGTCCAACAGCAGGACGGCTCCAACTGTTCTTTGGAAAAGCTCCTGCTTTCCATTGCAGTGGTTTAGTGAAAACAAGACTAAAAGCTCTCAAGTGATAATTACAACAAGCCCTATCATGTCGGTTTGAATCTGGAGCAAATAACACATTGTTCTGAATTCTGGCCAAACTAATTTTGAGTCCCCGTTTTGGACAGATAGGCGGTTTCTTTTGGGTTTCTTCGTTCGCACACAGTAAGACAGCGCACATCACTGCCTACTGCATCGCTCAATTCTGTTAAACATTGCAAAAGGCCATTTAATGTTCGAACACCTCAAACGGGACCTTTTGATGCGCACACACACACACTCGTCCAGTACACACACTTTCACATTCTTTGAGCTGCTGCCATCCCCGCTACTCCCTCAACTCCCACGAGGCATTTAGAATTAATCTCGCTGAAAAGCAAGGAGTTTTTAACTCTGACATCACATTCGCACACACGACCATAAATCTAGCTTCAAATCTGAAAAAGCAAAAAAGACCTCCACCCTTTGCTCCTCATTCTTTCCATCCACATCTTCCACTGTGCTGCTGGACAGCCTTATCTTTCCCTGTGATGTTACAGCAGGCCCGCTATTAGAGGAAACTTGTAAGCTGTGTTGAATAAATTCTGGACAGAAAAAAAAATCTGACCTCAGAGAACAGTCGTTTCTCCCCACACGCAACACATCATCACATTTGATGGCAAAATCTGTTTTCCTGTGTAAAGTATATGGACTGTACTGAATGTGGTGAGCCGTGGAGGCTTTATGGGACCTTAGCGCCAGCCAGTGTGGGATACCCTTTCCCCCCACCTACACACACACACACACACATACACACTTGTATGAACACACACAAACTTCAGTAGAACTTTGTGTTGGCAGCGTCTTAAAGGTTTAGTGACAAAGTAGCAGTAACCACTAGATATTCCCGTGAATGAACTTTTGGATCGCATTCAGCACATCTGCTTTCATTTAGCGCCCTCCAAGCTTTCTTAGAGGGGTTGAGAGGATGACTCTGTATTTTCCGTGCATGTGCAGTTGCAGTCGGTTTCTACACCCGATGTAGGACAGTGTTGGAACTTGATCCAGCCGCAGATGTCCGCCCTGCAAAAGCAACACCTTGTCTGATACTCACAAACCCGCAGGTACTCTGTGGCATGAATGTTGTCAGGCTCATGCCAGGACATTTAGGCTTTAATCCTTCCAAGGGCACCTGATGTAATTGTGTTTGCCAACAGTGTCCCAAAGTCAAAGCAAATGCTTCTCTCAGAAGCTGATTCGTAGCCCACGTTTGGAAGACACATGTGGACCAGCTCTCGCTAAAAGTTGGTTGAGAATTAAGTCTGACCAAAGATGGATGTGCCACATGCAATTGATCAAACGCTTGATCAAAATAAATGCTCACACCGATGCATTGCTCACTGTTTACGCAATAACAGCAGTGTGGAAATTAAAACAAACTTAAGTCAAATTAACAACCTTACCTGTTGAGAAAGCATCATTCTTTTAAGCCTCGGGCTGCCGACTGGTGTCGTAAAAGACGGGTTGGGAGTGAGCATGTGATGGACTTTAAATTCTGTGATTCTCCGGCCTTCTATTGCTGCCGTCAACATTCTGTATTGTTTTATGAAAAACCTGCCAAACTATGACGACCTTGAGACCCATCAACGTGTGTTTAGTGCTTACTAGCAAATGTTTGCAAGCTAACAAGCTAAACGCAGTCGTGTTAATATGTCAGATAAAGGTTGCCAAATAACTGTTGCTGTCACTCATGACAAAATCCATCACGCATCATGGCACCACGGTCGGCTTCTTGGCATCACGGAAGCACAAACACTACACACTTTATTCTATCAGGAATTAGGACTCTTAGGCGTGTGTTGTTTGACTATTTTGCCAGAAGGTAGGGCATTTCCAGTCTCAGTGAATCACCAAATACTTCCAGTAAGTAGGAGTTTCACAGGGATTTGATCCCGACTCAAACTATTTGTTGACGTTCATTCAAATTTAAATTGTTTAAAATAAGCCCTGCTTTTGTCCCTAATGTACTGAGTTGGTCTAATCACTGTGGTCCTGGAGAGTTGAGCACGTTTTAGCCCTCTACCCTTTTCCTTCCTTTAAGAAGCAAAGACGGCTTACCTTCTGTCCCTCTTTTTGTTTCACGCATTCTTCCCCAGCAAATCAAACCAATTTCCAACCCGGGTCCGGTCCCACTGGATGGTGGAGGCTGTTGCACCGTCGTTTAGGGCACTGGAGGTTCTCACAGTCATTTCCAGCTGACATTGAACCTGTCCAGGGGAATTAGAGATAAGATCTTCATCTTGAACTCCAGCAGGGTTATGTTTGTCATAGGGTTATATAGTGAACATAGTTGAATACACACACAAGTACAGAAAGTATAAATAGAATATCAGTTTGAAGGAGCAAGTTAAGCCTGCATGCACTTATTTTTATGCTTTGATTGATACATTTTACCTGATTGATCGTTGCGATCGTCATATGACCACAAGTCTCATATTCTTAGCTGCATTTATTGCATCTCCGCCATGCAGGAGTCTGTAAAGATAGCAAAGAGTTTAGGTTTTCCACTCAGGTTTTTCTCATGATATTGGGCTACTCACGTGTCAAATCGTAATGCAGCAGAACGCCTCCTTCTCTTTTGTGCGTGTGCGTATTTGAGGATAACTGCCTGTTTAAACTGATGCCCATTGGCTGTCTGCATATGATAAGCTGTGTCAGACCACCCAGGAGGACTGCTGGTGGGCCCACAGGGATGAAAGTTTACAGTATGGGGGGGATGATGGAAGATGGAAGAAAAAAAGGGAGCGAGGGCGGTGACAGTGAGCAGGCCGTTTTTTAAGAGCCTCTGGCTCCAAACAAACCAAAATTGAGAAAGTGGTCAAGATAAAAAGTAGAATATTTCCACTGCTGTGCCATTTGTTTTAGCCAAATGGGGATTTAACTTTTCTTCTAAAAGCGTAATAACAAATGTAACTTTTGGAAGTTTAACACTTTATCATCAACTCATTGTCCACTTTAACACTTTAGAAAGTAAAATTTGGGTTTGTATTTCAAAAATTAACATATGTATTTAGTTGGTAATTATAGTGCAGAGCTTTGGATAATTCTCGCTTCAGTGAAGATGGTTTGACTGTGAATAGTGAAATGTAGCATCCCGCCAGCAGGAGCGTTGTGTTTTTCAACTCATTTTACTCATTTTAGGTTTTTTAAGTTTTTCTTGATGCTTTGAGGGATAGAAAGTGTATCTTTGAGCTTTTGGGTTGATGAATGTCTGATGAGAGAGCGCAGAGGAAGATGATAAAACACATGACTTATCATTTGAGCTCTGCCTCGCTTTCACACACACACACACACACACACACACACACACACACACACGATCCCCTTCAAAGAGCTTTCTTGTTAGCAGAAGATATGATCTGTGTTTTCCCCTTCACCCGGAGCAGCTGAATAAAAGCCCTCTCTCTTCAATCGCCCGCTCTGTGTGTGAACACGTGTGTTTATGCCCATGTGTGTGATGTGATGGTGTCAGCGATCACGCTTCTTTTTTTTTTACCCTCTGTTTGAAAGCAGTTCACACATCGCAGATCACAGAGCACATACAGTCCAGGCACGTTGCTCTGCTTCGTCTGCTTCATGTCCCTGCGTACAGTGGGCATTACCTTGGTCTAGCTTCCTCTCAGAGTCTGTGTTTGTGTGTTTATTGCAGACGTAGATGAATGTGCGACAGGCAGACACACTTGTGGTGCTGAACAGACGTGCTACAACACTAGAGGCTCCTACACCTGCCAGTGTCCTTCAGGCTTCCAGAAGAACGGAGACCACTGTGTAGGTGAGTGGTTTGCGCAAAACACACTCTCTTTTTGCGCTTAATCAAAACTGGTGTTGACCTTTCAATGTGGTTCCCTGACGTTTCTTCATCAGCTGTCTGAAAGAATTTGCTTCTCTGCGATCCTACTGCTCTGTTTTTTCCTGCAGACAGAGACGAGTGCGCCCTGACTCACTACTGCATGCATAGATGTGTGAACACACAGGGCTCTTACTACTGTGAGTGCAACGCAGGTCACAAGTTGGCCAGCAACAACCACAGCTGTGTTGGTAAGTCCCCCAAAGGCACGCGCACTTATGTGCTAACGTCGACAACATTGAATTGTAAAAACATTTTTCCTTCAGGGCTTTGTCTTTTAGTGGCAGCTTGTAATACATGTTGTGTTGCCGTTGTCAGGCTGACTTTCCATTGATCTGGAAACCTGTTATGAATAAAACAGTTAATAACAGAGGTTATAAGAAGGTAGACCTACCTAGTGATTAGTAGAGAGCCATTGATACTGGTTTAAAGCCCAAGTTGTGATGAACTAGAACTACCCTTACTAACTACAGCAATGTAAAACATCTGCTTTTGTTTTAGATGTAAATGAATGTGATGTGGAGAATCCCTGTCAGCAGCACTGCTACAACCTGATTGGCTCCTTCCTCTGCCAGTGTGAACAGGGCTATGAGCTGGCACAGGACACGGCCTCTTGTCAAGGTGAACACACATACACACACAAGTATAAACTGCACAACACAGACATGCGACTATCGATAAATGCGTGTTTGTGAACATGCACCACATTGCCAGTTTCCTGCATGCGCTGCCTTCTGCCGATGATCTAATGTATGTTTGTGTGTGTGTATATTTCCTGCACAGACATTGATGAATGCAGCTTCTCCAGCTACATGTGTCAGTATCAGTGCATTAACAGCCCAGGAAGTTACTCCTGTGAATGTCCAGAAGGATATCAGCTCCAGGGAAGCAGGGTGTGTCAAGGTACTGCAGTCAATCTTTTTTTTTATTGTTTCTTGCTTAATTTACCTGCCACTGTACTCAGGCAGGAATGAAAGACACTCTTAACAAAAACTGGCATGGAAGGAATTCAGAGGTTAGGCAAAATCAACACAACGACTTTGTGTTGCTTTGGAAAGCCACCTTAGAGAATGTCTATGCATGATGTTGGTTTCTTGAAGTGGATTTATTAGAAGCTGCAGCGCCCACTCAAAGGGCGAGCTGTTATTGCTTCCTCTCCCCCTCGGTCAGGTGCAGACTTTATAGAGAGGGCCATGACTCTGGCCGGTTGTGTCACATGGACCTGATGGTGATGAATCCAGGTTGCTGTGCCATAAATAGCCCTGTGGTTTGGGGAATGTTTGATGGGATTATTTTCCCGGAGCTGCAGGGAAAGAGGTGCGCTTAGGCCTTTGCAGGGTTGTATCAGGGTCTTTCCTCCCATTACAGATCTGCAGGCGTTTCTACTTTCACCCCGATAGCTGCTGAAAAATGCAACGAAAAACACCAAAAAACCCTGTTTGCAAACGTAAACATCCCAAACTTTGACTCTGTTTCCACAGCACTCTGTCATGAAGAGTGTAGATTTTGTGTGTGTGTTTTGGTAGTTTGTGATAATAGCATTTTCATCCAGCTGTTTCTGCCAATTTTCTTGCCTATCACAAGACGTAAATGAGTGTGAGACGGGGACCCATAACTGCCACGACGATGAAATGTGCTGGAACTATTACGGAGGCTTCCGCTGCTATCCCAAGAATCCCTGTGAGCCGCCTTACACCAAAACCTCTGAGAAGTCAGTGAACATCATCCAGCACCTCAGTTTCAGGATCATCAGTGCAGCCAGCCAAACAAAGGTTGTTTAAATTGTTGTGCGTTTGCAGTCGCTGTATCTGCCGGTCTCAGGCAGAGTGCCAGGGTCTCCCACCGTCAATTGTCTACAAATACATGAGCATCCAGGCAGAGCGGACCGTACCAGCCGACATCTTCCAGATTCAGGCAACCAACATGTACGCCAACACACACAACACCTTCAGGGTCAAAGCTGGAAATGAGGCGGGAGAATTCCTTCTGCGGGTAAGTCAATGGGAATTGTTATTTTGTGGTTGCATGAAAAGCCAGGAGGAGGGTGTAACAGGATGTAATGGTAACTGGAAAAGCGCCATGATGCTGTCAAAATCTGCAGTTTCAAGCAAAACCCTAAAAGGGACCCACGTATTCACTCTGCTATCATCCTCCTGACTCCACTGGAAACAGTTGATAAACTGTCATTTTGTCAACATATGGCAACTGTCAAACAATAGTTACAATAAAGCACTTATGAGAACTTTTTGGAACTTTAAGGAAACATAATTAATAATCTACTGCCATGCTAACGGTTGTCAGGCCATTGCCTTGAGCTAAATGCTAATTTTGCTCACAATGACAATTCGAACTGATGAAGCAGGTTTATAATGCTCACCATCTTAGTTGAGATGCTAACTTTAACTTAACATGCTGTTAAAGAGAATAAATCTTCCTGACGTATTTATGGATTATATATTTTTTTTGCAGCGCTCCAGCAACGTGAGTGCTATGCTGGTGATGACAAAACCTCTGACAGGCCCGCGGGAGTACGTCGTGGACCTGGAGATGGTCACTCTCCATTTGACTATGAACTACCGCTCCAACTCACTGCTCCGACTCACCATCATAGTCGGGCCCTACGCCTTCTGAACGCCGAAATACCCAGCAGCCCGCATAGATCTGGTTCAGCAAACATATCAGTGTAACACAGCAGATGCTTGCACCAGCGTAACATTTTGTACATTTTCCTACAATGCAACATAAAACATGGGCTCCCCCAGACTCACACAGCAGTTCCAAGCGGCATGCTCATGACAGCGCAGCCGGTCCTGTAATGTGACCACTGGGCATCTTTTTCTCTTAAGGGGCTGGGAAGCACTGTAAAAAAGGCTTTTAGTGTCCTGAGGAATCACACACTTGTTTTTGACAACAGCACTAAACATTGCAATATTTATACTTTATATACTTTAAAGTTTACAACATTTATTTTTTATTTTTAAGTGCCCAAAGAAAACATACTAAAGATAATAAGAATGCTGGATGTAAGTTTTTTGCATTTTGCTGCTTTCATAGTAGAGAAAACAGTTGAAACAGAGCAGTGGCACTGAGGAAAAGAGGTAATGGATTTCTGATGCAGCTGTAACTTCATTTATCTTTTTTCTTCCACACCAGCATTCCTTCATATAACCTGTGTATGCATCATTGAAGTACTCGGTTGTAAGAAAAAAAAAAAGAAAAAAAAAACATATTTCCAGAGAAGCACAAAACAGTTCAGAAGTGCAAGTACAAGTAGATTTGTAGTCTTGTACATACCGAGGTAATCAATCGGTGTTTGCGTGTCTGAGTGTGTGTGATTGGATGCCTGTGTGCGTGCTAGTTTTGTTTCCGCCTCCAAGCAAGTGAACGTGTGAAACACGGACTGGGAGTAAAGCGAATGAGTGAGAAAGAGCTCATTCTCTGCCCCCCCCCCCCTGGGTTTGATGGATGCGGTTGAGCTGTTTGTGTGTCCTTGTGATGCCATCCTCGCTGACCTCGGGTCACAAAGGGCTCGGGTCAACAATGCGCTTTATACGAACAAAACAAAAAAAAAAAGTGGAACCCGAGAACAGGCACAAGAAATGGCGCCTCTCGTAACAACACACCTCGGCCCATTGACCGCTCACTGCTGCCGGCGTGACAGCTGGGCTCTCTCATGTCGGCCCCCAGTCAAGAAGTCACACTGGCACCAGGCTGGCTTGCGTGATACACATAATTACAGTGCTTTGCTCTGTAGCTGGTTTCATGTGTGAAACCGAGGGATTATTAAAGTATTATTACAATGCCACCACACTTTTCGGCAGATTGAGAAGTCTTTCTCGACCTTGCTTTGCCTTTTCGTGACTCTGTAGACACACAGCACTGGAGGACTACGACCAAAAACAACATAGTCGCCACATCAGAGTGTATTCAGTTATCCGTCTTTTGTGTGGTTTCAGCAGCTACCATGTGCCTTAGAGGTAAACACAAAACATGTAACTCGGTTATATTTCATGCTGTCAAGACTTCCTTCACTGATATGCCTTAATGTTTTTCCCTTCTATTTAAAATATATATTTTTGTCATATCTATCTTATATTGTTTGTACTCTGAAGAGCAAAAGTTATATTGTTGAATAAAATATGATGGAAAAATGGGGCCAGGTTGTTGTGCGCTTCCTTCACATTCAACAGCTTTTGTGAACAACAAGTAAAAACACTTCACTCTTCCTGTACCAGAGGGAGCAACATCTAACTTCATATACAGTATGATGGAAAATGCTCTGGGGGAAAACATGAGGATGATTTCATCTGAATATAACAATGATAAATGAAACAAAGTTGATGCCCAAGCCATCATATCTATCTTGTTTAACGAGATCCACAGGGGATTTAGTGATATAGTATGTTGAGTCAATGTGTGCTGAGGGACAAATGTGGAGCCTGCACACACACGCAACGAATTTAGATGTGAAATTGCTTGGGAGGGGTTTTATGGTAAATTGTTACTCAATCATTCTGCTGTCTAGAGATTTAGTCAGGGCTGCATTGGGACGTGTAAGATGATACACGATGTGTCATTGCTCCCCTAACCCCATCTTCAGCTTGCCGCTCATTGGAGTTCTGTGTTTTCGCCGGTCGCCGTGTGTGATTCAACCCCCCCAGCAGAAAACATTGCTCACTCACTTTTTTCCTGTGACTCAACGATGTGAGGAAATCCTTGAGAAGGGGAATATTTTTTGGTCCTTGTTCTTGGTAAAAAAATCCACTTGGGGTAAAGATAATCTCCCTGCATGTAGCTTAACGTTTTGATTGTCGATCAGCATCAGATTTTTTTTTTTAAACTAGACCTCAGTCAGAGTCGTTGGATGAAGATCACAGAGATGTAACAAAAGTAATGAAAGTTCAATGTTTTGTTACCCTTTTTCTTGCCCCTGTTGTTATACTCTGTTTGGAATCAGATACATAAGTAGGCTGTTCATATCAAACAGTCATGTATTTACACAGTCGAATGTTCCAAAAAAGAAATGAATCAAGAAATTCAGTACATCCTCAAGGCAGCTACAGCTTTCCTGAATTTTATTCCAGTTAAAGAAGAACAGCAGTACATTTATTTTTACAAATGCACACCGTATTTAAGTACAGTTTGGTCCTAACTGGAACAGATAAGCCCATCAGGAGGCCCCAGGGAATGATGGGGCTTTCGGCTCTGGCTTAAGTCCAATGCACTGCTGCGTCAAAATTATGTTTTTATACAGGTTTTAACTGAACACATCATTTAGCATTATACTGCAATTGTGTGGGTTCTGCAGTGAATACAGTAAAAATAAACTGTTTTGAAAATAATTAAGTGACCACAAAATAATTGCCAGATAAATTGAAGTGTGGCCCTTGAGGGTTCCACTCCTTAGTCCTGTTAAGACAGACTTGCAGTATTTAATAGGGAAGAAATCCCTTAAATTTTATTCTGATTACACCAAAAAGTAAAAGCACATCTTAATTATTTCCAAAAGCCAAACACACAAAGTCATGCTTGTGTCAGGAAGGTGTGCTGGGGAAAAGGGCAGGACTCAAATGCAGAGTTCTTTAGGAAACTAAAAGGGACTTTAATAGTCAAAAACTCAAAACTCAAAACTCAAAAAAGGCAAACGCATAGTGAGGAAACAAAATAGTGAGATATTTCCCCCCCTCTAACAGACATGAACCTTATGGTTGCATAACAGGAAAAATCATAGGATCAGACAATTCATATGGACCACATTGTCGGGGAACAATTCATGTCTAATGATATGACATTTCAATCAGACTGAACAAAACAAGAACCCACAAATGGTATTGTTTTACAGTGCAGCGGAACTATATCAATTTAGACCTGCACTGGCCTCCGACTTATCCAGGTTAAACCCCAGACCCACGTCACAGAAATGCTGTTGATGGATCACTTCTCTGGGAAACCACTCACAATCGCTTCAAAGTGTCCCGTCGCTTTATGTTCTCTTGAGCTCTTTCAGAGTGGGAGAAAGGTATGGGGTGTTTTAATGACCAGAGAGAGTGTATGCGGAGGTGAGAAATGAGTCGTTTATTGGATGACATTTGAGGTGAGGTCACTTGTTAACACTGGCAGAAAGTGCCGCACGAGGGTGGCATAACCACACAAGGGCATTCACAAGGAGACACACACACACACACACACACACCACGCAGGAGAAAGTGTGTCTCAAGGTAAAAGACGTCACGCACACGTCAAACCAATTAGCGGAACCAGCGGTAGATGTGTGCATGTTTATGTATGTAAATTGGGAAACCTGCTGGTATGTTTCGCCCGCTAGTTGCAGCTGCATGTGGCTGTTGAACACGTGACAGGTCGTAAACACTTCCTGCCAGCCACGGATGTCAATTCAATCAGGCTTCAATCAGAGTGGGGAAAAAAAATAAATCCTGGAGGTCTATACCTGTGTGATTACATTCCCTAATTATAGTTTGGAGCAGAAACTGTGAGATGACTAAACGAGACAGGCCCTCGGGGTGTTGTGAGTGTAATTATATCCAGACAATTAATAGGCCTGCACCTCAGAGAAGAGTTTGTTACATGATGACGCACCTGACCGTTTTAAGCCTGCCAGCGGAGCCTTTGAATTATGACATAATTACGAGGGAAAACATGATATACATGGTTGATAATTATCCCCAAGTACAGTAACAGCATTGTAAGTGCCATTGCCTTTCATGGTACAAGTTAATATCAAGGAAAAAGTTTACATTTCACAGTTTATGATTTGCCGCTTTGTCAAAAGAGGAAATACTTGTGACCTTGATGGACCACAACAAGTGGAAATGAGGCTGCATTCAGAGGGAGGCTTCATCTGTTGATACAAAACCGAGATGCACAAAAAATGTACATCAGCAGCTTACTAATTTACACACATTTAGAGAAGCACTTTAGAAAAACGAACCAAAAGAACATATATTGAAAAAATGATTAATTACAACCCCAAATCCAGTGTGTAAACATGCGTTTCAAAGTTCATCTGAAGCTAGTATGACCAGTCTGGTTTGGACAAATGAAATGTCCTGCCTTGCACCCAAACTCTGGCCAAAAGAGTCTTGAGCTTCAGCTCACATCTGCCCTGGATCTTTAAGCCTTTTCATTGTTTCCACTTCCCTGCCATCACTACCAATGCAACACATCGAGGGAGTACATGATGTGTGTGTGTGTGTGTGTGTGTGTGTGTGTGTGTGTGTGTGTGTACATACATACAGCACATACATGTGTGACAGGTATAAAGACATGCAGGTGGAGGGGAGGCCATGGGTTGGGGCGCGTCATGGACTTGCCAGTCAGTAATATTTTTCCTCAGGTTTAGGTGTGTTACTGCTGGAAAGCTCTGTAACGAACAGGAGGCTGGCTCTCTGCCTGATCGAATTCCACCTTCATATCTATCCCGCCTTCCAAAAATATTCAGCATACCAGTGGGTTTTATTGACTTGTCAGAGCAGACAGCGGAGTGCAAGCTCTACCTTGTAAGGTGTGCAGTTAACAGGATCCTACAGCAGGAATGTCTGCTGATGACTTTTTTTTTTATTACCTTTTGGTGCTTTTAGCTGAAAGCAATGAGTGTTGATTAAAGCTACATGTGCTAGGGCAGGGACACCGAACAATACAATATTCCTTTTGCATCGTGCAAAAGGACATAATTTACCTCCACTATCTGGAAAGGAAACATAGCAGTGGATGGAACATTCGGAAAAAGCAGTAAGGGTTAAACAACCTTCTCAAACATCTGACTTTCCAGATGCATCGGACTGTACGCAAATGAAATGGTTAAACTTGAGAGGCACAGCGTGGGGCTGAATGGGAAAATGAAAAACTCAACAAAACATTTTCCTTTCCTTTCCTGTTTGTGGTGTTTTCCCACACTTCTGCAGCATGTGTGCGCACATTGTTACTCACTGGAAAGCGTGGCTTGACTTTCACTGGTGAAACTGAGTCAGGCAAAAAGAGCTATGGTAAAGTGCCAATGCTGACAGATGCTACCACACTATCTGTCTCATAATGAGTTCAGCCCCCCCCACACACACCCCTCCCACCTCCTCTGTATAGCGCTCTCTCTCGCTCTCTGCCTTTCTTTTTCTACTCCTTACTCTCACCCCTGTCCGGCAAACACAGCTAACTGCATGACCATCCGTGATGAATGGCGGTTAGCAGCTGCCGCTTTTCTGTTGGTTGCCTGTAAGAGCATGTAATTGCATTTGGCCCTGGGTGTACATGCACTTATTAAACCAGTGTCAGTACCCATTACATTCCTAAGCAGTGCAACAGGTACAGAATGTAAATCCCAGACACAAATCCAGTGAATGCTTTGCATCTAAAGACGAGAGCACGGAAGGCCTCAGCTCAACAAGGCCACAAGTAACAAAAACGATTTTGAAAGAGTTGTTTGTATGTTAAATTTACCTTTCCAAGTAAAGAAGTCCTTTAATTTCCTTGTATATAAACTAGGTCAATGTTCTCAAATTTAAAATAGATTTATGAAAAATCGAAGTATTAGTACTACAAGGACGTGTCTGGTTGGAATAATTTAGCTGGTCCCAGTTGGGGCCTACAGAGGATAAGATCCTGCTATGTTGAACCCATATTATCTCTTATTCTGGTATCTTTTCCTAAAAACATTGCAAAGACAAAACATTATTCAATGAAATGTACCTGAGCTCTCGCCTGATGTGACGGAGGGTCGACGGTCTTCCTCAAACAATATTACGCAGCTGAATTTGTAGCTGGTGAAAAATAAACAGCAGATTCCACAAAACCACAAAAACAGAACAAGTATTCTCAGTGGTTTTCAGGTCCTACATCCATCAGTTATCGTGATATGTTACGTCATGCTGCGACCGTTATTGTTGAGGCTGGGGCCTCTCTGCTGGGTACGAACAACCATCAGTCATGTAAACGCCCGGGAAGGTGCAACCGTCTGCCTGAATCATGCAATAATGCTGCATGGGGACAACGAAGACTCAAACAAAAAGACTCCTTTCAAACTGATTGTTTCTCATCACAACATGACGTGTCAGTGCATTCACGACTCAAGAGATCGAGGATAAAGGCTGAAAGAAATTAAATCAACAACAAAAAATATTGAGTGGCATTATTTTCATTAGGCG